TATGCATGAGGGAGATTATATTCTTTCCAAATATGATTGCATAGTAAAAATGATCAACGTATACACAAATGTCTTGTTTTGGAAAGGGATAAATCATATTCTGTTATAAACCACTCCCATTCAACAAAAAAAAAAACCCTTAAATTGACATTATATAGATGCTTGATTTTTGTTTATAGAGAGCGTATTTGTAAGGTTTGGCGGACGCGTTTTTACAACAAACAATCGCTTTCGTATAATAATCAACTGGCCTCCTCTTCTTGCTGTTTGTTCGTTTATTCATTTTAGACAGATTTCATGCATACAAGAGCTTCTCAGAAAAAAGAAGCTTACATTGTCCGGCTTTCCGCTATATAGGTAATGTCCACTCACAAACCTTTTCGAATTTTGGAACCTCAATGCTCTTCAACTTCGAACTTTATTTAGCATTTTTATTATTTTTATTCTAGCGTCACTGGTGAGTCTTTTTTTGGACAAAACACGCGTCTGGCGTACCAAATGATAAGCTTGGTGTTTTTGATAAGTTTTTATAACCAATGAGTCGATGTCCAAGCTGGTGGAAGCCCATATTACGTTATTTAAGGACATAACTAGACAACTGTAAAAGTGACGCCACCCAAACTTGACCTGCGTGTTACGGTAATAAGTATTGTGTATAAGTTTCAAAACATTTGGTTGAGACAAACTAAATTTAGAGAACGGAAACCAATTTTGGGACGTACGCACTGACATACGTACAGATTTACTGAAGGACAAGGGTAACACTGAATTGCCCTTCGCCTAGCGGTGGGGGCATACAAATCTGGCAATGTTTTGTTTTTAAATTATCTGACACGTTTTAGGAAATTTTAATAGCAAAAAAATATAACAAAAACGAGACAATCTAGCCGAAATTACGATATAATCTAAACTCTAAGAACAAATATCTAATAAGACCAAATATTTCCTTTACTAACCTTCATCAACGTTTTCAAATTGTTCTGACGTGCAAGATCAAGATTGGTTTGAAATTGCAACATTGCAGTATTGGGTGCTTTCTTTGATTCGCTTGTTTCTTCTGTTGCTAATAGATCTTGAGGATCGACCTGACTCTCTGCTATATTGAAAAATTGAAGCAAAGCACCAACGTGTTCCTCAGCACTTCTACTCAATGTCTGAAATAGATAGTCAGTCTATCAAAAGAATAACCATACATGAATTGAAATATACATAATCCATTGTAATGGTCTTTTAAATTATTTAACTTGTCCATTTGGAAATACTAATGCACATTCAGAAAAAGTGGGTAATAAATCAATTATCACGACTGTATACTTGTATGGACTGTAATAAAGCGTTGATATTGAAAAGAAGGACGTGCTGGATAGATCATCATTTCTGCATTTCAAGAAAAAAGTAAAATATGTATGACAGACATGATAGGAAAAAATGTCAAAAAATAGGTTTGATACTCTTATGTGTACCACACCATTCTCTTTATATTAGGCCAGTTTGTGAACTAAAATTTTAGTAAGACGCACACCCTCGTTCCTTAACCACGTTAGATTTTTCACTTCCATACATTTTATGGGGGCGGGAACAATATACCGTTATTTTGTACATCACAACGTACTGGTTACCGTAATTTTGAATACACCAAACCAGGTACTTCTTATCTGAGAAACAGGCAAGAAATGCCCTCAATTTGAGAATTCATTCATACATTTTTGTACTATTCAAAATTATCAGTCAATATTTTTTCTACAAGGACCAGCAGTCCTTCACCTATCATCTGATACCTTAATTACCGAAACATATTCTTCATAGTTTTATATTTACACATATGCGTAGTAAAAAGTTAGTTTTAAATATGTACTACTTTCCAGTATGTTCTTTTTTGACCGGGCCCGATTTGGTAGTGTTTCATCTTACAAAGTCTATCCAAATAATATTTCAAAGAATTCCACTCAAGCAGGTCCTAGGGGTCGTCTTAAACTTGCAGTGAGGTGAGAGTTTTTTTTTTGGCTCCGTGTTTAAGACTTCATTGTGACTTTGAGATAAAGAACATCAATAAAAGCGCTGTTCCTTTGCTTTTTTGTTTGTTTTTTGCTGTGCATGTACTGATTTTGTGTCATGGATGGATATCCCATATCCTTTGTTTTTCTATTACAGCAGTCAACATTGTGTTATAGACGACAAGACTAGAAACGACTAGAATAGAAAATCAAGAAGTTAAAAAACAACTATAGATATGAAAGAAAAACAATATAACATCTTGAAATGCACACCACACGTTAAATTAAAATCGTTTAGGTATATTTAACTAGAGGCTCTCAAGAGCCTGTGTCGCTCACCTGATTCTACTTTGGTTTTGGAAATCATGTTAAAATAGATTAAAATCATAACAGATACCATAATAATGAGTGAGGCCAAATTTGGTTTAATATATGCCCTGTAATTTAATAAAAAAATCCTGGTGGCCATCTTGAACAGTAAATCAGCAATAAAGTAGCAACACTTCATCAGCACCTCATAAGAAACATTTATGCCATGTTTGGTTTCATTCCATTCAGTGCACCTCTAGAAGAAGCATTTGTATGTATTTCCAATAGAGTCTTATGTTAAAGGAAGTCCCCCCGCTGGCGGCCATCATGGATGAAGGATCAGCTTCAAAGTAACAACACTTAGTCAACACCTCATAAGGAACATTCATGCCATGTTTGGTTTCAATCCATTCAGAGTAGTAGTAGAATAGGGATAAGAAAACAGTAGAGCAGGTAGAGCAGGTAGAGCAGCTTATGTAAATATTGTGCTAGTGATGGTGGAATGTTTGTGTCCACGTGTCATACTTTTGACCAAGGTAGAGCAACATTGGTTGGTAACCAGGTTATGTTTGTCGTCCATTTTGTTTCCACGTTGCAAGGTAGAGCAACATTGGTCGGTAACCAGGGGTATGTTTGTCGTCCATTTTTGTTTCCACGTTGCTGACTTTTTCAAGGTAGAGCAACATTGGTTGGTAACCAGGGTACGTTTGAGATGACGTCCATGTTGTCCACGTTGTAGAATTTTGGGTTGCCTTGCTTGTCTAAATTGTTATTTAAGTGAGCGGCATCCATTTTTTTTTACGTTACTATATTTATTTTTGACGATATATGTTGTTAATAATTTTAAAATGAAAATTCTGAGGTTACATTACCAGGTTTTGTTATCAACAAAAAAGGGGCAGATATATATCTTATTATTTAAGTATGGTTTGAGTAGATTCATAGAATTAAAGCAGCTTTATGACATTGTTGAATTAAAGGTTGAAGACTGGAAGTACGATTTAATTATACAAATTGTAGAGACTTCAGGTGGTGGTGGTATATAAGTTAGTCTTTACTGATTAATCATGGATTTAGAAACAGACTCGGGATGTTACTTTTCAGACATCCTCCGTTTCAAACCAGCCCATCTGAATATGATGTATTTCACAAATAGAATGCAAACATATACAAATTGGCCGGATCAGATTAAACAAAAGCCAGAAGATCTAGCTCATAATGGTTTTTTTTACACCGATATAGGAGATAGAGTGACATGTTTTTATTGTGACATTACTCTAAAAAAGTGGACTAAAGAAGACGATATCGAAACAGAAAATATAAAATGGGATCCAAATTGTTTGTTTGCAAAGATGGTATCTAGTAAAACCTTGTCCAACATACTTATGAAATAAGAATGTTGCGTAATGACAGAGATACACTATAAGAAGATCCTCGAATTCCGTTCATTTACAGATTGATTGTTGTAGAGAGAAGACACTATGGATGCAACATTTGAAAAAGCCGAGAAACTTATGCATCACACACTTAAATATTTGTATGCTAGGATGGTCTTAGACTGTTTACCGGATATTGTGAAAGAACATTGTTATGGGTGTGAAGTAAACCACCCGAGTCAGATTCAACACACTTGTTTTATGTGGACAAAAATGGAACATTTAGAAACTTATTTCGATATTGCTTATAAACAGATAGCGGAGAAGGACATGGTTAGGAAGATGTCCAATCAAGTGAAGCTCATGGATGTACCAGATGACTATAAAAATGACGTTTTATCTACATTAAAGGATTGGTGCATTCTACATAAACCAAGTACCAAAAATGTGTCACACTGGTGCAAACGATTGGTGTTGTTGGAAGAAAGATTCACAAACGAATTAAATTAATTTAAAACACACCGATCATTAACATTGGTTATCATTTGATGTGAAACACTCATCATGAACAGACGTATTTTTGAAAACTCAACCTTCCTGAAAGAACTTTACTATGATAGACCCCGAAGAAGAAAAGAATTGATTGAGGAGAGTTCCGATGATCAAATTCGAACCATTTCACACATTGCATATAAAATTTATCATGCAACACTTATGACTAGTATAGTACATAGACGAAAACTTCGAGAGTTTCGGAAAACTATTCAGTTTTTAGCCAGTGGGAGAATTAGTGTAAGCAGGAAAAGACGAGTACTGTTAGTGTATCACAAATTAATACCACTCCTGATTAAGCCTCTGTTGCATTTACTAGACGAACAATGAGATGCTTGAACTGTTTCTAATGATATTTCAATAAAAGTTAGTTACTTGTATTTTGTTTTTTGTCTCTTTATTATATTTTCACAAAGTGCATATTGGTTAGGTATCTCAATTGAAGAAAGTGTCAGTAAAATTTAAATTCCTTCTCGCTTTCAAAACTTTACTTCAGTAGAGATACCAAACCAAGACTATCAGCCTTAAATACAAAGGGAACAGGTCTTACCTTTCATAGAATGAAAAAAAATCCAAGATGAACACACAAGATAGAATAAATGATTTAATATCAAACACATATAAAAACACACATGTAGGTCCCGAAAAAATATATAGAATATTAAAATCCAAAGGAATCACTAATGTCGGACGATCCAGGATAAAAAGACTATTACGAAGTCAAGACAGTTACACTTTAAGAAAGGAACTCCGTCATCCTTTTCGTCGTGCACGTGTAATTGTATCTGGAATTGATGATCAGTGGGACATGGACCTCGCTGATATGTCAAACATTGCAAGTGAAAACGGTCAGTTTCGATACCTATTAGTCGTCGTGGATATCTTTTCAAAGTATCTGTGGATTCAGGTTCTGAAAAATAAATCAGCAAAAGTTGTAGTCGAGGCAATGAAGAAAATTTTAGCTGGTAACAGAAAATGTAAAAAGATTCGAACTGATAAAGGAAAAGAATTTAACAACAACATAATGAAATCATATCTGAAAAATGAAGGTATACAATATTTCACCACACAGAATTCAGAAACAAAGGCTAACTACGCTGAAAGAGTTATCAAGACTGTGAAAAATATGATGTATCGATACTTCACAGAGAGGAGAAATCATAGGTACTTGGATGTACTTCAAGATATTGTTAAAGTATACAATTCTACTCCACATAGAAGCTTGAACAATATCCAACCAAAAGACGTCAGCAAAACAAACGAATAAGATATATGGGCATATATGTATTTAAAACCAAAGAAAATAACATCAAAAAAGCCTCGATCATACCACTTTAAGGCTAATGACTTCGTTCGTATTTCTTACATTTCTATGCTATTTGACCGTTCATATGATGAACATTTCACAAGAGAAATTTTTAAAGTTAGCCAAAGATTTCGAATGCAGGCTATACCGGTTTATAGAATAAAGGAGTATGATGGAACTTCCATAAAAGGATTATTTTATGAATCAGAGATGGTTAAAGTGAACAAGGATGAAGATGTTATGTGGTATGTAGAAAAAAAAAATCGAAAACGTAAGAGAAATGGACGGGTTCAGTGGTTAGTTAAGTTTGAAGGGTGGCCAAATAAATATAATCAGTGGTTGAATGAAGAGGATATCACAGATCCAAATGACTCCTGAAGATGAGCATCTACATAACATTCAATAGTGAAAAATCTCTGAACTATTTTCCAAACAACAAAGCATATACTTTTTCTTCTCAACTGAATTCACCTGTGTTTTTAAATGGAAATTGGAGAGTTGCCTTAGTTGTAGCAGACATTTCAAGTAGCATATCTAAATCAGAATCCATTTACCTGTATTCTAATATTTGTGGTGAATCTATTGTCGATGGAGAACAAAAGCCACTTCTTCGAAGGTTAAGTGCAGCCTCTATGGGAAACTGGTCAAACATTTTCGAAGTTCCGCATTATGTTCCTGTAAAAATAAATGACCTCTATAATATTGATATCTATATAACTGATGGTGACAACAATCTAGCTTCATTTTTAGATATTCCTGCAACGGTAACACTACACTTCAAATCGTTTCCATTCTTTTAAAAATGAACAAGATGTATGTGCCAAATGTAGGAAGCTGGATTAATTATTATGAGAAGCTAGACAGAAAAGGTCATCACAATACTAACAAAGGTCAAAAACAAATCGGAGGTGGGTCTCTAACTGGAACCTCAAGGTCATCCATTACACCAATCGGCATACCAACCAAAACCCCTTCTGATGAGAAAGTAAAAATTCAACTTGTCTCCCCCGTCCATCAAACGGATGAAATGGCCAAGGACATGGTTGAAAGAGAGAAAAAGACATTAAAAAGAAAGCCATCTAGTTATGATGCCAATTCTTCCAAAAGACGTCAAACGAACGAGACCTCCAAAAAGCCCAGTAAAACCACCAAAAAGTTGACTAAGCACAAAAAGTCAAGAAAGACAACCAAAGCATCAAACAAGAAGAGACATACGAAGAAAAAAACCAACAAGAAAAAACTGCAAAGCTCTGTGAAAACCTTCAAAGACATATTCAAGTAAATGGCTGCTTTATCGTTAGATGGGTTCCAAGAAGCTCAACCAAGTGGTTTGGATCTGTTTTCATTACCACCAACACAGACAGCGATTGATTCAGTGTATTATGATGAGCATAGGTCAACAGCACAGCTAACTGGAACTGCACCAGTAGAATTTAACATTGCAGCCCAAAATTCACTGGAGTATATAGATTTGAGAAAAACAAAATTATATGTAAAAGCGAGAATAAAACATATCAATGGAGACAGTCTAAAACCTACTGAGTATGTTGGTCCAGTTAACAATTTTCTACATTCTATGTTCTCACAGATTGATATTACATTACAAAATAAGTTGGTGACATCAACTACCACACATTATCCATACAAGGCAATGATACAAACTCTTTTATCTTTTGGATCTGAAGCAAAAAAATCTCAGCTGACTAGCCAGTTATGGAAAAAAGATCAACCAGGACATTTTGATGATAGTGATGTAGAAAATGGTGGCAATTCTTCCTTATTCGATCGCGCACAGTATTTTACTCAAAGTCAAGTGTGTGATTTAGAAGGTCCGTTATTTCATGATTTATGTAGTCTGGACAGATACATGCTGAATCAAGTAGCTATTAATGTTAAACTTTACCGTTCAAGACCTGAGTTTGCTTTGATGACAAGTGAAAAAGATCCAAATTTTCAAGTCATCATCGATGACATAGTGTTAAAAGTGTGCAAAATACGTTTAAACCCTGCTGTCATTATGGCACATGCGCAGAAACTACAAACAACAAATGCTAGATATCCCTATACCAGAACAGAAGTGCGCCTTATTTCTATACCTGCTGGGAGTCTTAGTTCAATTACAATAATTTGTTCAACGGACTCCGACCGACTCGTTGCGTTATAGCTTTTACAGAGTCCGCTAGTTCTAGTGGTTCATATACGTTAAATCCATTCAACTTTCAACATTTCAACCTTAGTCAAATAACGCTCAAACTGAACCAAGTTCCTGTAGGTGGGAATATTATGCAGTTAAACTATGGAGCCACGAGTCGAACTATACTACCTGCTTTTAATAGTATGTTTGAAGTGACTAACAAGTGGATGAGAGACAGTGGAAATCAGTTGAGTAGAAATGATATAGCAGGAGGAAATGCTTTATATTGTTTTGAAATAGAACCAAATTTCAGCGACGAGGGACAGTACTTAAACTTAGTGAAACAAGGAACTTGTTCTCTAGAAGTCAATTTCAATGCACCACTGCCGAAAGCGTCCACGTGTGTTGTGTATGCAGAGTTTCCAGCTTATTTTGAAATAAATTTAGAAAGAAACATCATTTTAGAATGAATACTTACCAGCTCAAGTGTGCCATTGTTTCAGACGTTGACTTACAACGATCTGTTCTTGGTGTATTCTCATCTGATGAACTGTCTCAAGTTCACCTACTACCAGGAATGGGTGTGATAGCCAATACAGATGTCGCAGGCTTACCAGGAAGACATTGGGTAGCATTTTTCTGTAATAGAAAGAACAGTCTTGAAGTATTTGACTCTTTTGGGTATTCAGAAAAAGAACTCACTGTTTATTTTAACAAATTCATGCGGAATTATGCATACATACAATCAAACGAGAAAAGACTACAAGGTGATGACACAGTTGTGTGTGGACAATATTGTTTGTTTTATTTAATGTGTCGTGTGAGAGGATTTACCATGCAACAGATAACAGATGTGTTTTCAGAAGACTATCAATTGAATGACAATTTTGTGTACAGTTTTATAGACAATCGGTTTCATTGCTGTGTGAACAATGTGTGTAATGTTGTGAATCAATCTTGTATCAAAATAAAAAATTAATGCTTATATGTTATTGTTGGTGTTGTTGTTGCCTCTCTTTTTTTTTTACATATAAAACAGTTTGTCTCTCAGCTATTTTTATTATTTCACTTGAACAGTATGGTTGACTGGTGGGAGAAGGAAAGTTTGCTCAAATTTCAGAGTCCAACATCAATATTCATTGTTGGTCCGTCAAATTCAGGAAAAACAATGTACACCAAAAACCTTCTTGAAAATGCAGATGGTATGTTTCAAGTACCACCGTCGAAGATATTTTACTGTTACAGTATTTGGCAGTCAGTTTTCGATGAAATGAAATCAGCAATACCAAACATTGATTTTTTTCAAGGTTTCCCCCATATGGATGTTTTATCAGAATGGGGGACTTTACAAGGGCATAAGGTTCTTGTTTTAGATGACCTGATGGTGGAATCTGCAGATAGTAAAGAACTGGTTCATCTCTTAACTGTAGGAATTCACCATAATTCAATCACTTTGATTCAGATTCTACATAACTTGTATTGTAAAGGCAAAGCCATGAGAACAGCCTCCCTCAATTGCCATTACTTTGTTTTATTTCGGAATTATAGAGATCAGTTACAAATTCAAACTCTTGGTAGGCAGATTTTTCCCGGACAGTCTAAATACTTTTTAGATGCATACAAAAGGCGACATCTGTAGCCTATCGCCTATTAATTATTGATTTAAATCCACATACAGACAAAACATATCAGTTGACAACAGATCGTGGAGTTGGACAGACACCTATCGTATATCACTCTGCAGAATGAAGGACTATTTAGCACATTTTCTTTTGAATGCTACTGCAAAACAAATTTCTCAAGCGATTAAATCACTAAGCAAGGAACAGTTGGAATGGTTGGTTGAAATAATATACAATGTGATGCAAGGAGTTTGCTCCATTTCAAGTGTTGATAAAACTTTGCTGACCAAGAAAAAGAAGCTCATACGTAAAATTGTTTCCAAAGGAGCAGCATATAAACAGAGAAAATTATATTTATTAAAAATAAGAGGACTGCTTCCTATTTTCCTAAAGACATATCTCCGTTATGTCTCGCGAACTGATTCTGATTCCTAAACTGAGGTATGAACAATTAAAAAATCCAGAGACATTGCCGGAAAAAAGAGAAAATCGAGATCAAGATCAGCCGAAAGATAAACCAGAAAATATCGATGACTTGGAAAGTAAACAGTTAGTAGAGGACTTTCAACCTGAAAAATTGAAGAAGTCAAACAAAAAGAGAAAAATTACACAACACGAGGAAAGTAAACCATATATCGCTATGCCCCTTAAAACAATGCTGCAAGAGAAAAGTAAACAAAAACCAAAGATGAAATGGTTATCGTTTCGAATTTAGATGTCATGTGAAATCGTCACGTGTATTTAAATTGAGGAAATTAGGTAGCTGTTATCATTTTGTGTAAAGTGAAAAGCATGGCTCACCGCGGTGTTCATACCAATGATTTACATTTTAACGAATCTGATGATGGTATGTTGGTGAAGGCAGCCATAGAGGTTGAGAATAAACTCAAACGTAAGAAATCATGTGCTGAAAATGTTGATGTCAAAAGACCAAAGTTAAATTGTGATATTTGTGATAAAACTTTCAAATACAACAGAAATTTGAACAGACATATGAATTCACATTTTAACAGAATTCAGTGTTTAGCGTGTGGGAAATCGTTTACGCAAAAACATAATTTAGTCAAACATGGTAATAAGTGTTCTGGACAGCGCACAATAAACAAACGAGATAAACAATTATCTAAGCAACTTACATGTAGACGCTGTGATGTCTCCTTTGATGATGTTGATTCTTTATTCACCCATGTTGCCAACCATCATCCGTTAAACCAAACAGGAGGTAGAATGCCTAAAACGGAGGAGCCAGTTGTCAGTCAGATAAAACGTAAACGGTTTCGTTTTAAGAAAAGCGCCATTAACAAATCAGTGAATCGTGTAGACCTTATGCCTATTGGTGATGAAAAATATGATTTATTACGTTTTTTGGCTAATACGAAAACTGATGTTGAAGAAATAATAGTATCTCAGCAAAAGAAACAAAAAAATGTCAAATGGTATGTAAATGCTCGAGTGGAGATGGTTCGAGATATTGGTGATGGACAACAAGAAAAGGCTCACCCACATTTCCGCAGCAAAAGTTACATATCTCTTCAGAATGAGAGTAATGATCATAATTTAAATGAAGCTTTCCAAACGATTAACAGAGTAATGGAAGAATTTATCAACAAGGGATCTAACTGGATATTGAATAAAGTTATATGCCTCGAAGTACATACTTTACCATACTCACCCATAGCTGGTTCAAATTATATGGAATTACCATACAAAATTAAGGCCACTGGTGGAATTATCAACATTAGAAATGATGACCAAAAGTGTTTCCTATGGTCTGTACTGGCAGCCCTACATCCGATGGAATATAATCCATATCGGAAGTCACATTATACGGCACACGAAAATGAATTGAACATGAACGATATTGAATATCCTGTGTCTTTAACAAAAATGGAGAAATTTGAGAAACAAAACAATATTTCAATCAATGTTTTTGGCTTTCAAAACGAAGAAGTGTTCCCACTATATTTAACAAAGTTAGAAAATGTAGATAGGGAGATCGATTTATTGTATTTATCACAGAACGGGGAAACTCACTACTGTTGGATCAAAAATTTAGATCGTTTCCTTGGATCAATGACTAAACGGTTTTACTGTAGAAGATGTCTTCACGGATTCATAAGACAAGACTTATTAAATGAACACAGACTATATTGTAATAAGTTTGATTTTCAAAAAGTGACTTATCCAAAAGAAGGAGAAGCCATTTTAGAATTTAGAGACTTTCATAAACAAATGCGTGTTCCTTTTGTCATCTATGCAGACTTTGAATGCTTTGCAAAAAAGATGGATACTTGTCAACCAGACCCAAATCAATCGTCAACAACACATAAAACAAAATTTGTTCCATGTGGTTACTCGTACGTTGTGGTCAGTTCAAATGATAGATATTCCAAGCCAGCCGTTGTATACAGAGGAGAGAACGCAGTCGAACACTTTTTTGAAAATATATTTACAGAGGAAGAATACATAGATGATATATTGAGGAACATTTACGAGGAGTTAATTATGAGTGTGGAAACCGAAACGCAATTTCAAAATGCTACAAACTGTTATGTATGCAATCAACCATTTTCAGGCAAAATAATCAAAGTTCGTGACCACGACCATTTAGGTATAAACGAAGATAACGAATCACCAAAGTATAGCAATTACAGAGGGGCAGCCTGTCAGAGATGCAACTTGATGTTGAAAAATCCAAATTTCATTCCGGTCTATTTTCATAATTTGCGGAACTTTGATGCACACCTTTTGCTGTCGGAAGCTGGTAAATTCAAGGACAAAAAATTAACATGTATACCAAACAATATGGAGAAATATGTGTCCTTTTCTGTTGGACAACTGAGGTTTTTAGACACATACCAGTGCATGAGTAGCTCTTTGGAGACGTTAATTGCTAATTTAGCGGCAGACGGTTTTAAAAATTTCAAACAATTTCGAAAAGCTTTCCCCAATGACGAACACGCTAAACTTTTGCTACAGAAAAACGAATACTGTTATGATTATGTGAATTGTTCTGAAAGATTTGAAGAGACAGCTCTCCCTTCAAAAGCAGCTTTTTATAATTCCTTAACCAAAGAAGCTATTTCTGATGAAAAGTATGAACACGCTCAAAAGGTCTGGAACACGTTCAATATGAAAACCTTAGGGGATTTTCACAATTTGTATGTATTAACAGATACGCTACTCTTAGCAGATGTTTTCGAACGATTCCGTGACATGACTCTTGAATATTACAAGTTGGATGCTAGTCACTTTTTCACGAGTCCAGGTTTAGCATGGCAAGCAGCATTGAAAATGAGCGGTGTCTGCCTGGATTTAATTACTGATCCCCTCATGTACAACATGATAGAGCTTGGAACACGAGGTGGGGTCAGTATGGTTACCAAAAAATACAGTCGAGCTAATCATCAATATGTTGACGACTTTAATGAATCAGATGTGAAAAAACACATCATGTATCTAGATGCTAACAATTTGTACGGTTGGGCAATGTCTCAACCATTGCCTTATGGTTTTTTCCATTTTTTAAATGAAGATGAAATTAGTCATTTTGAGTTACAGAAAGTCGAGTCAGACGCAAAAGAAGGCTACATTTTAGAAGTAGACATAGAATATCCTGAACATCTCCACAACAAACATAACGATTATCCTCTGGCACCCGAACATCTACTCATTGAAGACAAAGATCTATCGAAATACAGTACTGATTTATGGGGAAAGTTAAATTCTGTGAAGAATGCAAATGGTGTGGAAAAAGTGAAACCTAGGATTAAAACCCGAAAATTAATTCCAACTCTGAAGAAAAAGACAAACTATGTGGTGCATTATCAAAATTTACAACTTTATACAGAACTTGGAATGAAAATAACTAAAATACATAGAGTATTAGGATTTCAACAAAAGGCATGGCTTAAAACCTACATAGAATTCAACACCAACATGAGAAAACAGGCAAACAACGACTTTGAGAAGGACTTTTTCAAACTGATGTGTAATAGGTATGTTTCTCGTTTTTTTTTATATAGATTAGACCGTTGGTTTTCCCGTTTGAATGGTTTTACACTTTTGGGGCTCTTTATAGCTTGTTGTTCGGTGTGAGCCAAGGCTCCGTGTTGAAGGCCGTACATTGACCTATTATGGTTTACTTTTTTTTTAAATTGTTATTTGAATGGAGAGTTGTCTCATTGGCACTCACACCACATCTTCCTATATCTATGTTATTTTTAAATGTGTAAGATTTTAAAGTGTTGTCAAGATCTCGAGTTTGCTTGTTGTCTCATTGTCGCATTACCCACATTGATTTAATTATGTTTTGTGGTTTTTGTGTCAGCTTCTAGTACTTATCTAAAAGTATTCCTACTTTTTCAGTGTTTTTGGTAAATGTATGGAAAATTTGCGTGCTAGGATGAATCTAAGACTAATCAATTCAGCCTCGGAAGAAAAACTAAAAAAGTTAGTAGCTCAGCCGTCGTTTCTATGCTGCCAAATTTTCAATGAAGACCTCGTTGGAGTACACAACCAACAGATCAACCTAACTCTCAATAAACCCATCTATGCCGGACAAGCTATTTTAGACCTTTCAAAGAGACTGATGTATGAATTCCATTACAAGGTGATGAAGCCTCAGTACGGTGACAAGATCAACTTGCTGTTTACAGATACAGGTATGATATTTTTTTGTTTGTTTGTTTGTTAAAATAAAAGCCATTGTTTCTTTAAATTTCTAATATTTCTCATTGTTTTCTCCTTTGTATAAGTAGAATAAAGGAAGAGATTCCTCTTTGGTATTGTACTAACATTTCTGAATTCATTTTAGATTCGTTGTGTTATGAGATTCTGACTGATGATGTATATGAAGACATGAAACCTATCAAAGACCTATTCGATACCTCCAACTACGGCTCATTCAACAAAACGAAACATCTCTTTTCCAGCAAATATAAGAAAGTCGTTGGGAAATTTAAAGATGAGCTTGGTGGTGAGTTCTTTCAAACAAACATTTTTTTTCTCTCTCTCTAAAGTTTAACATAAATTTTCTTTCAAATTTTCCTTTTTCTTGTGAATTTTCTGTAAAATTTTCCTTTTTCTTTTGAATTTTCTGTAAAATTTTCCTTTTTCTTTTGAATTTTCTGTAAAATTTTCCTTTTTCTTTAGAATTTTCATTTAAATTTTCCTTTTTCTTTAGAATTTTCTGTTAAATTTTCCTTTTTCTTGTGAAATTTATGTTAAATTTTCCTTTTTCATGTGAATTTTCTGTTAAATTTTCCTTTTTCTTTTGAATTTTCTTTTAAATTTTCCTTTTTTCTTTGAATTTTCTGTTAAATTATTATTAAATATTGTCTTTCTCATGTGCCTCAAAAAATCTTTTCAGGTGTTCCTTTAAAAGAATTCGTTGGCTTGAGACCTAAAATGTACAGCCTTTTGTATAACCAGACCTCTACAGAAGGTATCACATGCGAAAAGGAAAAAAAAGTGGTGAAAGGCATTTCAAAAACTGAAATAAAACAGACTCTCCGACATGAAATGTATAAGAAATGTTTGAATGAAGAAACTACGACCACCAATTCAATGACGTGCATTAGAAGTAAAAATCATGAACTTTTCATGGATACCGTTGTGAAAAAAGGACTGTGTAGTTTTGATGATAAACGTTACTGGAAGAACCCAATTGAAAGCTATGCCTATGGACATTATAAGATAGACACATATTAGTGATAGTATTTATTAAATATTTAAAAAAAAAAACTAACCGTGTCAGTCTGTTTGCATATATGTCCGTAATGAAATTTATAAATGTTATTCCTATAAACACCACATTGAATGAAAGTCACACCACATTGAGCATCATCACATCGATTGGAAAAAGGCTCCCATTTCCTCCTCAGAGAGATCATATAAATTGTTTTTCACAGGGGAAATCTGTTCATATTTTGTATTCTTCCCAGACCACTGTGGGTGTAATTCTTCACGTACCGGTCTCTTTGCGGCCACCCTCAGTAGTGGTAGTTGACGTCTCGTTTTCATATATTATTGTTAGAGGTGCCTGCAATAGTAAAAATGAAATATTTAAATAAATAAACCAGAGAGAAATGAAATACTTTCAGTGTTGCTTATCTTTTTTTTTTAAGAACAAAAGGTTGTTTGCAAGTTCAATTCTATACTTTAAAAACAAGTATTGCTTTGTTCGCATTTAAGAAAAAAAAAAAACCACCCTCTATTGCAAGACTTACCTATTGTATGTATTGTTAACTTGTTCTCACCCTGAACATGTATGAAATATTTGCCACTGGACGTTAAGCAACCAACAATCAATCATGATTCTTGAACATATTTAAACTCTACATTAATAAATGTATACTTACGGAAGGTGTTGGTGGTGGTTGCTTAACGTCCAGTGGCAAATATTTCATACAAGTTCAGGGTGAGAACAAGTTAAGAATACATGGTGATTCTTGAGAAGAAGAAAAAACCCACCCTCTATTGCAAGACTTACCTATTGTATGTATTGTTAACTTGTTCTCACCCTGAACATGTATGAAATATTTGCCACTGGACGTTAAGCAACCAACAATCAATCATGATTCTTGAACATATTTAATCTCTACATTAATAAATGTATACTTACGGAAGGTGTTGGTGGTGGTGGCGGTGCATAAACCGGCGCTACATTTTCTTTAGGCACAACCTGCTCCTGTGGCTGGGAGAGCGGCTAAAACATGAAAAATAACATAAAACTCAAACTCAAATGTTATGAAGAAAGTTTTATACTTGCGAGAGGTGTTGGTGGTGTGCATATTGTTTCTCGTTCATTATTTTGTACATAAATTAGGTTGTTATCTTTTTTCTCCCCTCGGATGTTTGTTTTACATTCATCATTTTGAAGCTATTTATAGCTGACTATGAGGTATGGGTTTTGCTTATTGTTGATGGTCGCAAGGTGACCAAAAGTTGACAATTTCTGTATCATTTGGTCTCTTGTGAAGAGTTATCTTATTAACAATCATACCACATCTTCGTTTTATGTTATTCAATTGTTGCATTAAATGAGTTAAAATAAAAGGCAACTGTGAACACCGATATCTCCCCTAACAAAAGCGAGGTAGATAGATAAACAGAAAGATAAACGGTAATAGACAATACTTACAACCTTCCTGTTGTTTACGGTAAGCGCATACAAACAGAGAAAAAAAAACACCTCAAAGGGTATAATCTTTAATTTCCTCGGTTTTTAAAGAAAACTCCTACATGTGAACCTCGTGTAAAAACAAAAAGAAAGAAAATAGTCTTACCTGTGGAAAGTATGCCGTTAGGGACTCTAGGTGCCCCCTCAGTGTAAACAGATCATCCAGCTCGTCCAGCCCTAAATTCAGCTTCATAGATCCATTTGACGCAGCCAAGTCTAAATAAAAGAGTCCTCTAGCGGACTTTTTATAGGTAAGCACTTTCCCTCTCCCGAATTGAGTTTTGTATTCCGTTCTACCAGTGGAAGTAACAATTTGACTAAATTGAACATTTTCGGCTGCCATTATAACACTTAATCGTAAATAGATTTCTAGACAAAGGTTAGAAGTACTGACTTGAAAACGAAAAATACGCACTATTATACTTATTTCATTATTCTTAGGTTTCGCATAACAACTCTATACCAAATTGTTTATGTGGTGCGCAAACAAAAATGCGCTTAACAACAAAACAACGTGTTGATGAATCTCTAGAAACTATACTGTGATAATATTTCATCTGCTTTATTTTTGGGTTTCTTAACTTAAAATCTTTATCTAAATCAGCTACATTGTAAAAAAAACCCAAAACGTTCGATTTTTTTTCTGAAATTTTTTTTTTTTGAGTGCCATTGTCTCGTACCTAATATTTTCTTATTATATGTGTTTCTGTTCCCCCTTTTTTCGAGTTATACTATTGTTGAAGATCATATAGCAACATCTCAATTCTTTCATATTTATTCTTTTTCGTATTGTTCTTTTTTTTTTTTTTTTTGACACAATCATAATCTCCCGCCTTTTTATTTTTAATTAAACTGTTGATTATGTGCACATGCGCAGACGATTCACGTATCCATAGACTTTTGTTAAATGCTATACCAGCTATTAGAAACTTCATCCCCCCTGTAAGACAGCTTATCAACCCTCCTCAACATCAACCACTACACCAAGCAGCAGTCCAACATATACCACCTGCAGTACACCAGGAAGTCATCCTACCCTTACCAGCACCTCCACTCATTTTAAGAAGAAGCACCAGACAGTCCATACCACCCAACAGACTTAATTTGTGATTAATTTGTGTATTATGTTTTTTGTTTATTTTCAAACCAAACTTCTATATAACTGTTTGTGTAATTAAGATGTACCTAACACTACAGGGGGATAACTCTGTAAAATCAGCTAAACGTTTTAATTATGATATGTATTTAAGGGCATTGTAATAAGCTTCTCAATGGTTGAAATTAGTGTTTGTTAAACTGTTATATACCCAGTGTAATTTTTATGATGAAATGGTTGGTTCAAATATTTTGAAATTTTTATCAAAGGTTCAAAATAAATACTTTGTTAAAATTTTATGAAAACTCAACGAACCAAATTAATTTTAGTTAAGGTGTTGGATACCACCTTAATTATAAAACTATGAATAATACCATTGTAAGACTAGCTTTATGAATCATATTGCTTCATTAAGTAACATTATATACAAAAATGTTTAAAGTATTTCTTACCTGTCCTTTAAGATATCTAATCCTATCTGCAGCATGTCTCGGCTTTGCACACTATTAGCTGTATTGCACTGCTGCATCAGTTCTCCCAAAAATGTCTCGCTCATTCCTATGAGACATCCTATCCTAGTTTCCCTGCTTTCATGCAACAAAGCATGATATAGTGCAGAAACATTAAATTGCGTGCTACTAAATGTGTTGATGGGTTGGTGACAATACCAATTCTTTATTTCTTCAAACAACTCAGGTTGTATTGAACACTTATAACATGGGAAAAAATGAATTCCCACTACTGGTATATGTTGAGATACAAAATTAGTCAATTAAGAAAGAAAGTTACTGATTGAAGCACGATGATCCATCATAAAGTTTTCTAAATAGAATGAAAGTATAACATTTTTCCTAAATATTAAAGGACTTATTCTTCTCTCTTGGTTATGATAAGATTCATTAAATAAAGTTGGGTTGATAAATTTAATTCATTTAGACTTAACTGAGATGCCATTTTAGGATTAATTTATATATGACTAAGCATCCATTGTGATGACAAAGGAGATATTAGCATTTCTATGCTATATTATCTTAAGAAGTTTATTGAGGGGGGGTTTTTTTTTTTTATTATTGAAGGTTTTAACAAAGGAGAGTGATAATTTTCTATACATAAGAAAGACTCAACATCCTGTGTTTGACATGATTATAAATTATGGATAAATTGGTACATTTTTCGCTTAATTTCTCTCTTTAAATTTATTTTTATGATGAAAATAGGGAATAAGTCAGATTTTTGAAATGATGTTACTTTAAAGGGTGTTGTTTATATTATACATATCTAGAAGTTTTGTATATGTTTACACAAGTCTGTTTTGTTATGTTAAGAAGAAGTTTAACTCAAATTAGAAGTAATATATGTTTATCTGTCTGATGTTCTCCATTAACAGTTAATCAGTTTTGAAACTTGATTGCAATTAAGACAATTTCCTATACTCTACATTTAAAGATTGTTATACATGTTTATCTATCAACAGTTATTTAGCTTGAGGATTGATTGTAATTAAAAATATTTAGTAATTACACAGTATGATAACTTCTAAAGGAAGAAAATCAAAATATTTATGAAGCTTTACATCAGAGGAATTATCTGATATGATCTATCAGATTAAAAGATAACGTTTATTTGGTCTTAAAAATAATGTAAAAATATCAAAAATGCTATAGAGGTTGATGGGGAACATTAGACAGACCTTAGTAGTATATGAAATGTTTATACTGTAATATAAAACATGTATATAGTCTTTGTTTTTCTTGTTATTAAGCAATATAGTTGTGATAATTTATTAAATGTTAATTGTTTTAAAGTTGGTGCTAAATAATTGTGATAATCATTAAAGTTCATATTTCAAATCATGATAGTTGTACTCCTGATAACATGCTGTTATATATATTTAATATATTCATTTACAATGATAGTTTAAGAGAGGAAAATATACTCTATAAAGACAAGTTTTATAAAAAAAAAAAAGTAGTGCTTATACTATAGTTTGAATGCTAACTGTTTTATGGTGCTATGCATTCCGCCAGTTTTATAAAGAGAGTAGTACACTACATTTTTACTAAAGTTTTGGTGCTGTGTATTCTTACATTGAAAAAATAAGCATTTACGGTTGTTAATCAAACCATGATACCTGTATATATTTTATCTATATTTTGTTACTTTAGTGCAACATTCCATCTTTTAATTTTTGCTTCATGCGTGTTTTCATTTTAAACATGGAAACCATGTGGGTTATATTTTTATTTTATAACATAATTTATCTTCTATCACATTCCATCAAGTTACTTTTTATATTGTAGTCATTTTTAAAAACTAGAATCATCTAGTTAATCATATTACTATATGTAATCTTTTACATGTCTCTTTTTAGAAATCCATTCTTGTTAAAAAAAACAACATTTGTTTTAGAAGCTTTATAAAATTTTATATATATTAGAAACAAACTCAGGGTTGTATGCTCAAATATCGGTTTTAATACAAGTTTTTATATACTATACATATATTGTAATATTTATTTCTTATGCTAAAAATACTCAATCAGTTTTTGCAATAATGGTGATCTACACAAAATGTGATGTATACATAATGTATATAAGTTTTTGATAATAAAAATAATTTATTTTCTTCAATCTTTGTTTTATCTCTTCTCAAGTTTCTGTAGTTTGTGTGTTGTGGAAAGAAAATGAATGCCACCCCTTGCCAACAACAAT